ATATATATATATATATATATATATATATATATATATATATATATATATATATATATATAAAGCTCTCTCTCTCTCAAAAAAAAAGAAGCTTTATGTTGTTTTGAGTATTCTACACGATATTTCATTCTAAGCAAAACCAGCTGTTTTGCTTGCTTTTCAAGCAATGTACACTCTCCCAAACAGTCTTTTTCTCCACCATTTTCACTCCCACTTGCTTGTCTGATGATTCTGGTTCTAATTAACTTCATATTGTTTTGAAATATTTTAGACGATATTTCATTCCTCAAGAACAAAACATATCTAGAACAATGAGTGCACAGGCAAGACTCAAAAATGAAGAGCTGACAAATCAAATATCTCAAATGGTCACCGATGCCCTACAAACAGAGAGTGACAACAAATAATGTTGTTTTTTATAGCTTTTTTAGTTTTGTGATTTTTATAGCTGTATTTGTTTTCGATAGAATTACGAATAAAGCAATGCAGAATGGGACGAAAAACTTTGATCACATTTGATTGTTGTTATTTATGAGTTTTGTTGTAATAATACATATTTTAATTATTATTTTCTATTACGATATCGTTTCAATTACATTCGAACGATTAAGAGGTGGTTAATAGAGTGGCTTGAACTGTGTTACAAAATCCTTCATTATTCCAAAATTATGTTGGTGACAGTCGAGAATGAACCAAAATATTGAACTTAAGTCGCTTGGTCCATTTTGCGGAGTGTTTAATGTGTTGTGGGTGGCGTCACAAATTATTCGCTATCAACAAGGACATTGTGGTTGCATAGTGAGCCACAGGTGGTGTCCAAGGGATTGATAGAATTCAACTGACCGTAGGGGGCCTATGACACTATGTAGGTGGTTGTTCAGAACTGTTTTGGTTTTGTGTTATGTTTAGTTGATATTGGATATTGGATGTTGTCGAATAATTCCAGCTGATTAGTGAAGAAAAGGTTGAGATTTTAGAAATGGTGAGGGGTTGACTGAAGGTAAGTCGGAACCTCACCGTAAGCAATTTTCACTCGGGAGATATTTCGATTATCGATTGAATCATTCAAATTTTGTTGAGTGAACCAAAAGGGTTAACCATCCATTGATCGTCATCCAAATGCAGTTTTTCGTTTACAGGCAACACGGTTATAGAGATTATGCTTTCATTATTTCATGTTATTTTCCACGTCTTACGTCTATTTCAACGGGATGCCTCGCCTTATGTCTACTTCGATTGGACAGCGACACTGGGGATAGTTCGTTCTGTCTCAAGTTTACATTTAGGAATTTGACGTGATAGTCGAGAAGTTTTCTGCTTGTGAGGTTGGCTTTGTTTTTTGCTCCAAGGTTCTCGCAGTTATGGGATATACTGTTAAGGAATAAACTTGCGAACTGTGTTCCCAAGTTGTAAAGCCTAAAAGCTATTTTCAAGGTCCGCAAAATTTCGAATATCAGTAGAGCCATGCAGTGACAGGGACGGAATACTCCAAGCATTTTATGGTTGTTGGGTATATATATATATACATATATGGGCAGTTACATAGTCTCTTATTAATTTCGTTCTGTTTCAGTTGACTTTTGACAATTTCTTATATTGCTGAGTGTTTTACCGTATAATAACTTAATAACTTGCCTGCTAAAGAAAGGTTTCTAGTATCAGACTAAGTATAGATTTGAATGGAACTCGAGTGGAATGAAGGGAAAAGCTTCTTTTGCTACTTCTACTTAATAGTAATAGTTATAGTAGTTAGCCTTTCGCAAGAGAATCCTAGGAATCAATAATTCATTTTTTGATCTTTAAGCCTGATCAACAGTAGATGCTCGATTATATGCTGTCTTCTGTCGTTTGAAGACTTTAGAGAATTAGATGTTCAAAATTTTTTAATGCCTTTATAAGAAACATATCATTGTTCACACAAAGGTGTTGAAATATTGATTTGATTAGGACATGAGTCAAAGGTCAGAGAGTGTTGCTTAATGTTACAGGAGCGTGTTCTATGAAAAGTGTAAAGAACAGCTGAACTGATCGTAATGCGAAAGTTTCAAAAAACAAAATTCAGTGAGACGCAGTTATCAATTAGTTGTTGTGCATTACCATACTGGGGGATGTTAGAAAACTGTATGAATTACGCGTAAAAATCATGCAAATTGGTAGAGTGTCAGTGCTGCATATTACAAACGTCTTACAGGTGCAAATGATAAGATTCATGTTCTATCAAATAAATCATTTGGAGGATAGGGTACTTTCTGCTTGCTTTCACGGAATCTGATTAGACACTTCCCAGAAACTCACGAAATAATACTTCGTGAGTAAGTTAACGAATACTATGCGGTCTGAACCACTCATCATCCATCTTATTTAACGGGTGGAATGGATGATACCATAACTGCATGTAGTTCTGGCATCACTCAAGATTAGCTTGGAAAACGAGCAGCGCTGATTTGTAGCTGGAAAATGCGAGCTGGATCAAATATTGCAAAATTGACTCTAAACGTAAGATTGATACCGAATTTCAGACTTTTACGGCAGAAATTATGGATACATCTGCGGCTAGTACTTCTGCCAACAATCAACATCATCCATCGTTCGTACCAACCGGTACCATCGAAGTGCCTGTTTTCTATCCCACTATTGAAGAAATGCAGGACTTCCCGACACTAATCAACAAAATTGAGCAACAACACCGTGCTCATCTGGTTTGCGGCATTGCAAAGGTTCTCTTTTGATCCTTTTCAAGTGACTGCATTGTTCTCCATTGTCTGTGGTATCTTCTCTTTCCATTATTTCTTACATGTGGCATTCCAACCTCATTTTACATTGAGGTCAAGAGGCTGCGATTCCATCCATCTTTCGAAAGAAGGCCTCATACTTTCTTATGCAATTCTTAACCCATATTTAGCAATCTTTTGCTACTTTTTTCAATGAGGAAGTGAATATTAACTCTTATGAGATATCTGTATCCAACTAGGATTAGCGCTATATATGTCTAAACTTACGGAGGACTTCTTTATTATATTCTGGAAGGACTCAATATTTTTTGCTGGGTCTGTGGTACTTTTATGAAAAATTGAGACCTCATGTACGTAACTTAGTAACTTATACCAGAGTTCCTTAATGTGTTAGCCTTATATACCTCCCTTATCCCTTAGTTCCATCAAGGAACTATCCTAGGTAGTGCCTGTAGCGTTATATCGGTTATGAAGGTATCGTGTTTAAAAACTACAATGTGAGGAAATCTTGCAAAGAATACTAACGAATAAGGAAAGCACTTAGTTTGCCATTCAAGGAGGACAACTCAACACATTTCTATGATTTCTGAACAGTGCAGATGCTTCTTCAGTTTTGTGTACATATACATGTATGCGTTATCGTGCCAGTATCGATACACTACTACTAAGAATAGCAGTATTCAAGCAGTGATAGGAATAATACTTTAAGCACGTGGAAAACCTGAAGCATATCTTAAATACTAGTTATAAAAGGTAATTTATGAAAAGGAGCCAGACCAAGTTCTTATCTATCTTTGTTTGGATTGAAGGAAGGTGTGATATTTTGCACTGAAAGTTTAGCAGGGTATCAATTTGTTCTTAGATTTAACTTCTTTTATTTGGCAACAGCCAAGCTTTCCAGATCCTTGAAGAATAAAATATCAGCATAGTTACTTTATTATACACGCACATAAATGAAGCGCAGATGTGTAATTGTTCACGGTCACGGAATAAAATAATGACATCGTTAGATGATTTTACCAACTGCTTCGGAATTTATTAATGGAGGCATTTGCTGATTGACGATTATTCTCAGCTTCTAAAGAACTACAGTTAATAACGAAAGGTGTTTTGATAATAAAGAAGCGCATTTTGGGAACAGCAAATGGCGGTTTATAGTAACGAGCAGCTAGCTGCATTCTACTATTTGAGCAACCTTCGATTTGCTACTTTGTAAGTGAACGGCAACACAGAGAATAATGATCTCTTGCAAATATACTTAATGAAGCAGCAAGTAGACTATTGAGTTGTAAGTCCTAAGGTCATTGTAGCGCTGACGCTTAATCAATCAAATAACACATACAAAAACACTTGTAATTGTTGGCATTAGCCTTCTCTGATTCTGTCCCGATGTTAAACATTCCTACCTTGAAGGACGAATCCATGATGGCTCATCCATTTGTGTGGTTCCTGGATCAGCTGTTTTGAATGATCTTTGGAGACTCTTACTAAGCAAAAAGTCTGTCTGCTACTCCATTCCATGATATTTGGTGCAACACTCCGGAGAAATTTATTAAGTAATGGGAAAGATGCGACTAGAGCAGTAAAAAAGACGTCTAAATGTGGTGCAGGGGAGAGAATTGTTTCGGAAGGGAAGAGCTGTTGGCTGTCCCGACCAATACTGTTACGAGTGTGTGTATGCATATGTGTGTTTGTGTGTATATGTGTGTAGATGTGGATGTGTGTGTGTGTATGTATGTATATGTCTGCATGTGTGTTAGTGTGCGGCAAAAATTACCTGCTTATAACGGAAGATATGTATACCATATATACCATAAGCATTTTGTTCCGTTGCAACAAGTGGACAGGTGTAAAGCCTTTTTTCTATCCATAACCTTCTTTCTAGTGTCTTCATCTCTTTTTGAGAGCTGGTGGAATGTATCTGCGGGATGGAGGGGATGATTATAAAAGTCTCTACGACAATCGGTAATCACGAAGGCAGTTTTCTTATTTTATTTGTGTTAAGGTGGACATGTTCAGTCAGCAACATATCGCTGTTATAATCTAGAGAATTGTGGTATGACATCTTATCTCAGCCTGACATCATAACTTGCATTGTAAATTTACTCCTTAATATTTCTGTTTCAGTTTTTCTTTTTTTCTTCTGTTTCATTTTGTACCTTTTTATTACACATTCATAGTTTAGATCGTACCTCCGCCAGAATTCCACGCAAGGAAATCAAACGACTATTCGGACGTCGATAACTATGTCATCGATCAGTAAGTGTTCCTTTTTCTATAATGTTTACCTTTTTTTAAGCAAAAGATTTGCTGTAAATCAATTAAAAACTCAAGATTTCAGACCAGTTAAAGAAAAAATAGAGGGGAATGCTGGAGTCTATACTAAAACAAACAGGTTATATCGGCGATCAATTACTGTACGAGAATTTCGTGCACTTGCAAAGAAATCACCTTTTCCAAAGGGTGACTTACCACCACAAGAGATTGAGAAGTAAGTTTACGAATTGTGATCCATGGATGTAGTTTTTCTTTCTTCCTTAAGCTTGAAACGTACGATGCGGTTGCTTTTTAACACGTTTCATATCACTATATGAGGATTTTATGAACCATAAATTCATATAAAATTTTGACTGGAGAACAACTCATACATACATATTCATATGTACACACACTCA